CCCCAAAACCCCAAAACCCCATAGAGTATAGTCTTTGATTCAAATAAATAATTAGTCATTCTATCTTATCATTAATTTTATATAATTAATGATAATGGAGGAAACAAAAGATAACTCAAATAGCACATATAAGACATAATTTGACGAGATTGATATCAATGACACTAGTCATCTAAAGACTCAAGATTCCAATTCTCAATCTACAAAATCTAAACACAAAATTAAGAATGAGTAAAAAGTTGTAAAGAAGAAGAAAAATACTTATAGAACACAATGTCTCAAAGTTGGTGAGGTTAAATGTCTATTCCTTAGTTGGTATAAGTAAGGTCGTACACCTTTGCTCACATTAGGACCTTCATGGCCATTTACTATCGTCTTGATTTTATTTGGGGTTTTTCTTGCAGTGTTTTTCATTTTTATGTCTAAAATGATCAAGCATAAGTCTGTCTACACTGAATTGATACTATACTCTCTGATAATTATAAACATTACAGCACTCTTTATGGGCATATTACAAAATCCAGGAATCTCCTAACAAATATTTGACATTAAACTAAAGCAATAGCTAGGGAAAAATACGGCAAAAGGAGTTTCTGATTAATTTGATGAGGACAGTGAGAGTGACGAAGACGATTTAGAAAGTGTTGGTCAAAAGAAAAAGGTGGATCCTAAGGCTCATATCTATTACAATAACATAAAGTCGCCACTTTATTAGTATTGCAAATAATGTCAAGTATAATATGACAGAGAGACGTATCATTGTGAAGATTGTGATGTTTGCATAAAGGGATATGATCATCATTGCATTTTCTTTGGAAAATGTATCGGAGAAGGAAATCTTTGTAGCTTTTGGACAACTATTGCATTAGTCTTTGTATCATTTGTGGTATTTTCTGGGTTCGTATTTTTCGATTTTTATCAAAGAGCAAATAAAACCGACTCAAAATGAAAGCATTTCAAACAATAATTTAAAATTATCAAATTTCAATACATCAAGCAAATTTATTCTGCGGGGTTTTGGGGTTTTGGGGTTTTGGGG